ACACCTCCTGACGACCTCTCCCAGCGGTTTCATGTAGATGTTAAACAGCAAAGGGAACAAAATGGACCCTTGCGGTACTCCATGGCATAGCTGCCATGGCGCAGAGCCATAGTCCCCCAGCACCACCTTCTGGAAACGGTCATTGAGATAAGAGCAGAACCACTGCAGAGCAGTGCCTCCAACCCCCACTCCCGCTAGCCTATCCAGAAGGATACCATGGTCGATGGTATCGAAAGCTGCTGAGAGGTCCAGAAGAACCAATAGGGACGCAGTCCCCCTGTCTTTCTCCCTGCACAGTCATCGTACAGGGCGACCAAGGCAGATTCAGTACCGTACCCGGGTCTGAAGCCGGACTGAAATGGGTCCAGATAATCAGTTTCATCCAAGAGTGCTTGGAGTTGTCCCGCCACCACCCGCTCCAACACCTTGCCCAAAAACGGGATGTTGGCCACTGGTCTATAATTAGTAGCCATCTCTGGATCCAGTGCCGCTTTCTTCAGGACCAGTCGGACTACCGCCTCCTTTAAAGAGGCAGGTACCCAACCCTCCCTCAGAGAAGCGTTAACCACTTCCAAGATCCAAATCCCAATTCTGTGCTTGGTGTTATTTATTAACCAAGATGGGCAAGGGTCCAATAGGCAAGTGGTGGGACGTACTCATCCAAGCACCTTGTCCACATCATCAGGCCGCAATAACTGAAATTCATCCATTAATTTTGGACCATCCATTAACTTTTGGACCTCTGAGTTACTAGTAGAATCTAGCTCGTGATGAATCTGAGGGATTTTCTCCCTGAAATGCTTGGCAAAGTCATCACAGTGGGCCTTCGAGGGTGAAACCAGACCTTTCTTGGGGCCAGGATAAACCAGGCCATGCACCACTCGAAAAAGCTCCACCGGACGGCATTCTGAGGCGGCAATGGAGATGGAGAAGAATGTCTTTTTCGCTGCCCTCACCGCCACAGCATAGGCCTGATAATGGGCTCTTAAGTGTGTTCAGTCAGATTCATCCCGTGATTTCCTCCACCAACGCTCTAGTCGTCTCCCAGCCTGCTTCATCACCCACAATTCAGGTGTATACCAAGGGGAAGAGTGGGCTCTGCCCGGAGGGAGAGGACGCTTAAGAGCAATCATGTCAACAGTCCTGGTCATCTCCCCATTCCACAGTTTGAACAGGGCCTCGACAGGAGCACCAGTCTTGTCAGCCGGAAACTCCCCAAGGGCCTTCAGGAATCCATCTGGATCCATACGGCTCCAACGGCGGACCCACACAATTGGGTCCGCACCCTTACAGAGGGAGAGGCCGCTCTCGAGCTCAAACCTCACCAGGAAGTGATCTGACCATGACAGGGGTGTCAAGCATAAATTCTTCACCCTCAGACCACCCTCTTCCTGCCCCGTCGAGAAAACCAGGTCCAGGGTGTGTCCACGTTCATGGGTCGGGCCGGTGACATGTTGAGACAGTCCCATGGCCATCATGGAGGCCATGAAGTCCTGAGCCGCCCCGGTCAGACTAGCCTCGGCATGGAGATTGAAGTCCCCCAGGACCAACATCCTGGGGGTCCTCAACACCAGGTCCGAGATGATCTACGTCAGCTCAGGCAGGGAGACTGTTGGGCAGAAGGGTGCACGGTACACCAACAGAATCCCCAATCTGTCTCGGTCGCCCAACACCGAGTAGAGACACTCCAGCCCTGGCCTCGAAGGGACCGGAAGTCCCATGAGGGAGATGGAGGCTCGGTAAACCAAAGCGTTCCCCCCCCTCCCCTCCCCTCCAGGCATGGACGGTGCTGAACCAAATACCTGGGCGGGCACATTTGAGAGAGGGTGACATCCCCCCCCTCTCCCACCCAGGTCTCCGTTATGCAAGCCAGGTCGGCCCCCTCATCCACAATCAAGTCATGGATGAGGGAAGATTTATTGTGGACCGACCTGGCATTAAGCAGCAGCACCGTCAGGCCCGAGGGGTGGTTGACAGGACTACCTGGCACCCTCCGGCTGGGGGCAGAACCAGAAGGAGGGAAAGGTGTCAGCCATCTGTCCCTCCTTCTACTCAGACACATTAAGCCCCCACCGCTGTAACGCCCATTGCCCATAACCACGCCAATGGGGGCGTGGTTTCCCCAGGAAACTCAAGCGTCGGCATGGCCAGGGACGACTCCATAAAACAGATTAAAATACAATAAAAACTTTAAAACAATCAAAAACTCCCCCTTATCACCCCACCAATACAAAATAGAAATCCCCCCCACCGACCTATTCCCCCCCGCAAGCCCAGCCCCGCACGGCCATGAACGACCACAAACGGCGGCACCGCCCTTTGGCTGTCGCCCTTCGGCCGCCAGCCCCAGGCCACGTCTGGTGGGTTAAGCCAGTGCCTGCCCGCGTGCCCTGCCCCGATCAGCATCGCTCTCACCATTGCCGGTGGGGGGGAGGGGAGCGGGGGGGCACGGGAACCCGCCCGGCCTTAAGATGGCGGCGCCCCCCTCCACGCCGTCGGGCCTGGCGTGGCCCCGCCATCCTCCGTGCCCGGGGTGGCCCAGCGGTGGCTGCGGGCGTGGCGTCAGCTGGCCCCCAGCCCGGTGGTGCCCTCAGGTCTGGCGGCGGCAGCAGCAGCATGGCACGGCAGGTGTTCGGCCGCGGAGCTGCGGAGCGCGACGGGTGTTGGGGGGGGAGGAGGGAGCTCCAAGCCCGCCCAATTGTTGCATTCGGAGGAGCCTCTGATCCCAAATAGCACACAAGTCAAAGCATGTTCCAAGTTTGCAAACAGCGAGCAAACTGATGCACTAGAAACAGTGTTCCAATTGAAAGGACGGTTCTTTGAGCATGAATGTGAGAAAGCCAAACACAACCTTCGTCACCCTGTCCAGATGTGTTAGGGTACAATTCCCAGAATCCCCAAGTAAGGCAGGTGGATGGGGGATTCTAGAAGTCGGGGTTCAAGACATCTGGAATGTACCAGGCTGGAGGAGACTGGTGCACCAGATAGCAATCCCTTTTTGGTTTGCCTTGCCTTCCAGTCTTAATGCCCTACCATCTGGATCCAGCCACTCACCTTGCGGGTGTCCATCCAAGCTTTCCCCTGACAAGCTGGCTGTGTCTTCCTCAATACTAGACCGATACTGAGGAAGAAAGGGCTCACAAACCAAAGGAAGTTCAGGGCGGCTGTGCTCTACAACCTGTTGGGAGGATAAGTAGCAGGATGAGAGTGGGGTGGCAGGGCAGAGCTTGCTAGCAAATGTGCCTCCCTCACCGTAAGCAAACCTTATTTCCCACCAGAAGGGGTCAAACCTAAAGAACATTCATATATTTCTAAGGGCCAAACTAAATACAACATAAACACATATAAACATTTCACATACATGTCATTTACTCTTTGAATATCAGGGCACACCTGCCTGCTAGCCCCCATGCCCACCCAGTGCAGAACTGGGCCTGTGGTATGCAGGAGGAGTTAAGGCTGAAATCCACACAGCAACCTCCAATGGAAGCTGGGATGATGAAAGTGTCCTGCCAGAGGTTAAATGTTTCTGAGGATGGGATTTGCCCCAGAACTGCAACCTGGTGAGAAAGAGCACCAGAGTTGTTCCAGGAATGAGAACTCCTCCAAATCTTGCCACAGAGGCTGTGTCAGCAAACAGGATTGTAAAGAATGGGGGACATGATATTCTATCTCTCTTATTCCCGCTCAAAAGACAAGAAAGGCAGGTTGCTCACCTGTAACTGTCATTCTTCGAGTGGCCATCTGTACAGTCACACATATGGGTGCTGCGCCTGTGCTATGCCTATGGCCAGAAAGATTCAAAAGCTTAGCGGTTTTGGCAGGAACTCTGCATCCCTCCCCTCCATGGTATAAAAGGGCGGAGTGCCTGCCATTTCCTCAGTCAACTGGAGACCGACCATTCACCCCCTCGCAGAAGCGAGCGATATAACAGTGAATTGTCGGGCCCAATTTTTGTTTTTGAACCATTATAGAGGAGAAGAAAAAACGGTACAATATAAACCCATTCACCGACACCATGCGGGGCCGGCAGGTGGGTTGTGTGATTGCACAGATGGTCACTTGAAGAATGACAGTTACAGGTGAGCAACCTGCCTTTCTTTGTTGTGGCCTCTGTGCATCACACATATGGGTGATTAGCAAGCTTACCAGACCCGGAGGCTGGCGGTGTCATTAATGAAGAACAGAAGAAAGGATTGCCCAGCCAAAGGAGCAGTCATGTCTGGCACGCACATCAAGGCAGTAATGCCTGGCAAAGGTGCAAGGAGCAGTCCAAGTGGCAGCCTTGCAAATGTCCTGGATTGGAATGCCAGTGGCGAAAGCAGAGGAGGCAGCTACCTCCTCCGGGCATGACAGGTAAGTCAGGTTTGGCGAGCTGATAAGCTAGCTCGATGGTCTGCACGATCCACTTTGAAAGTCTCTGTGAACCAACAGGAGAGCCCTTATCACAGCCTGAGTGTTTAAGAAAGAGGCGGTTAGATTGCGAAGGGACTCCGTGTGAGACCTGTAAAAGGCAGGTAACACAATGTCCTGATTAATATGAAAGGGAGACACGACTTTTGGTAAGAACGCTGGATCGGTACGGAGAACAACTTTCTCCTTATGAAAGTTAAGGTAAGGCGGATCTATCCGCAGTGCGCAAAGTTCACTAGCCCTTCTGACAGACGTGACCGCGACAAGAAAGGCAGTTTTCCAAGAAAGTAGACATAAGTCAGTAGTTGCCAGGGGTTTGAAAGGAGGCCGAGTAAGTGCCTGTAAGATGACTGAAAGGCTCCATGTAGGGATAACTGGTTGAATTGGTAGCTGAAGATTCTGCAGACCTTTGAGGAATTGTCGTATGAAGGTATGAGAAAAGACTGAAGAACCCTGCACCTGCCCCCAAAAGTGGGAGATCGCAGCTGCATAAACTTTAATGGAAGATGACTTAAGTCCCGACTGATAGAGTGATAAGAGAAATTGAAGGATATTTTCAACGTAGGCCGAAGAGACAACAAAATTGTTGGATTCAGTGAAAGATGTGAAGTGCTTCCATTTAGCCACATAAGACCGGCGAGTTGCAGGTCTTAGGGTAGACTGAAGAATGAACTGGATATCGGGATGGAGGGTGCTCAGGTTCGATAAGGAGTCTATTGGTAGCGAAGAAGAAGAAGCTGCATCGGGATGGTGTCGGGCAGGTACAGAAGTCCCAGGATTCGCTGGTACTGAAGTATCCCCGTGGATCACTGAATGACCCAGGCTGTGAGGTTGAATGAAGGGAGATCCGGGTGGCGAACAGCTCCGCGCTGCTGAGTTATGAGATGAGGTATGAGAGGCAAGCAGAGAAAGGTGCTGCTGGACAAGCGGAGAAGGGTAGGGAACCATGGTTGATGGGGCCACCAGGGGGTGATCAGGATCCCTGTGGCATGGTCGTAGACCATCTTGGCTAGGATCCTCGTAATGAGCGGAATCGGGGGAAATGCGTAAAAGAACACGTTCATCCATGAGATCATGAGCGCATCCCCCGTCGATCCCAGGCCGATGCCGGCACGAGAGCAGAACATCTTGCACACCTTGTTCGTGTGGGTGGTGAACAAGTCTATGTCCAGAGAGCCCCAAGTCCAGAAGAGGCAATGGCAGGTCGAACAATCCAGTTCCCATTCGTGGGTTGCCGACATCTGCCCGCTGAGGGCATCGGCCTCCCCATTGTCGGTACCAGCCAGGTGAACCGCGAGGAGGGTGATTTCCCTGGGGATGCACCAGTCCCACAGTTGCATCGCCAAGTGGGCCAAGGGGGCGGACTTCGTCCCGCCTTGCTTGTTTATATAGAATACAGTGACAACGTTGTCGGAGGCAATTTGGACAACGTGTTGCCGAAGTGTGTCCTTGAATGATCGAAGGGCTTTGAAAACCACTAGGAGTCTGAAGTAATTGATATGTCTAATGGATTCCTGATGGTCCCAGAGACCGGCACACAGAGCTCCCCACCCGGTAAGGGAGGTATCAGTAAAGAGAGTCAAGGTCGGGTGAGGCAGCCAAAATGGGAAGCACAGAGACAGATTGTGCTGCGTGGTCCACCATGACAGGGTCTTGAGGACGGAAGTCGGAGAAGATGGTGAGGTGAGTCTTGTTGACGTTGGAACAGTGCGTTGAACCACAACTGGAGTGGTCTCATCCGTAGTCTGGCGTGGGGAACCGTGGATACTGTAGAGGCCATGTGGCCAAGAGGTTTCTGCACCGAGAGTGCCAGAACAGTCCTGTCTATGTGGATTTGACGGATCGATGAACAGAGAGTGTCCTGTTGAGTTTGTGGGAGGAAGGCTCTCATTAGTGTGGAATCAAGACGGGCTCCAATGAAGTCGATGATCTGTGAAGGAGTAAGACACAATTTCTCATGATTAATGCATAGTTCCAAACTGTCCGAGAGGGCACAAATAGTTTGAATTGATGACCGAAGGCCTTCCTTAGATTGGGAGACGATTAGCCAGTCATCCAGGTAGGGGTACACTTGAATGCCTCGGAGCCGAAGATGTGCACACACTGGGGCCATACATTTCGTAAAAACCCAGGGGGCAGTAGCCAGTCCAAACGGAAGGACATTGGACTCGAACAGGTCAGAATCAGCAGTGAATTGCAGAAGATGCCTGTGGGACGGGTGAATGGCAATGTGAAAATAAGCATCTTTCAAGTCCAGAGAAGCAAACCAATCCTCTCTCCTAAGCAATGGAAGGATATTTTGAAGGGTGGTCATCCGAAACTTTTTGGTTTTGATAAACCTATTGATGCCACGTAGGTCCAGTATTGGACGAAGACCGCCATCCCACTTGGGGACCATGAAATATCTTGAGTAGAACCCGTGGAGCCCCTCAGAGCATGTAAGCTGTTGAATCCCTCCTTTACGAAGAAGCTGTTGAACTTCGTGGACGAGGACCAACAAGTGAGGCGTAATTCGGTTTGGTCCTGGTGGGGGCACGGTATTGAACTCAATTCTGTATCCATGCTGTATGATGGATAAAACCCACTGATCAGATGTGATGGACTCCCAAATGGGGAGTTGACTTTGCAGCCGATCCCCAAGAGGAAGAGGGGAAGGTGGGTTAAGGAGAGGAGAGGTTCATTCATCCTGTCAATGCTGATGCTTATTGGACTCGGGACAACGACGGTTCTGCTGGAAGCGTTGTTGTTGCTTCCGACACTGTTGGCATGGTTGGAACTGCTGACGGCCCCCAAATTGTGGATAGGATTGATATCTGTAGGCCGGACGAGACCAAGACCACTTATGGCACGACTGGTTAGGAACTTCCATCCGGCGACCTGTGACCCTCAACTCATGGATAGTCTTCTTCTTGTGGTCCATCCTGGCATTGAAGAGCCCGGAACTGTCAAAGGGCATGTTCTCAATTCGACACTTTGTCTCATCTGGAAAATTGCAATTCCAAAGCCAAGCATAACGATGGAGGGCTCACCATGGAGAGCTGCTGGACTGCCACCTGCATAGCCTCTTTGATGAAAATTTGGGCTAAGTCTCTTTGCTGGTCCAGTATTGAGGCCGTAATATTTTCAAACTTTTGCATGAGAAAATATTGGTACCGCGCCAGCATGGCCTTATAATAGGAAATACGGAGGCCAAGCCCTGTAGCTGCAGAGATCCGGCGAGCTAGCATGTTGATCTTACGACCCTCTTTGTCACAGGGAGTAGTGTGTCCCCTCAACTCACATCCTTGGGAGGACTCAACGACAATTAAGTTTGGTCTGGGATGGTGCAGGAGGAATGGTATATCCTTCTCATGGCCTCGATACATAGATTCGTATCGGCGTGAAGTAGGCTGAGGCTGGTTAGGGTAGCTCCACGGTTCCATCATTGCCTGGCAAAGGGTAGTGATCAGCAGCAAAATGATGGCAGCAGACTGTTCACCCTTGACAATGTTATAAAACTTGTCTGTGTTAGGATCGAAATGGTGCTGGGCCTCGATCTCGAGTGACCTCGTAAGCCTCGCCATAAGCCCCCCAAAATTCACATAGGGCTCCTCCGGTGAGCTGGGGCCCTGTGTGGAGATCACTGCGTCTGGTGACGTAGAGTCACTTTGGAGTCCTCCAAATCCAAGTCGTCGTGTGGTGGAAGACTAGAAGAGGAATCGATAGGCGAAGTGGGACGCCTGGATTGAGTCGCTCTGGAAGTCGAAGGAGCGTCCCTCGGAGCCGGAGAGAGGGTACGCTCACGCACCAACGGGCAGTAGCCATAAGGTGGATAATCATCCCATGGCTTGCGGTGAGACGGCCGATGGGGTGGGTGCACGCATTCTTCCAAGGGCCGGATGGAGGCACGCTGTTGGTACCGCACCTGCGGAGGAACAGGCCTTGGAGAAGGCTTGAGCAATGGCTGGGGAGTTGGTGAGCGAGCCATTGGCGAAGAGTCTCAAATTTCTCCGTCGGAGATTGATCCCAACAAGGGAACATCCCAGTGTTCAGGAGAAGACTGGACGGAGGGTGTGACCCATCTTGGAGACCCAGGTGGGGTCACTTGCATGGCCAATTGGAGGGCCGGGCCGGTCGGGGTCGGTACCAAGGCAGCCGTCGGGATCGATGGAGCAGACGAACACGAGTCATGGTGCCTGAAATGGTCGGGCTTCTTAAGTTTGCGAGCCGACTTATCCGACTTGTCCTTCTTAGGCTTTTTATGGCCTGAGGACTTGTCCAAGCCACTATGTTTCCTCTTCTCCTTTTGCTTACACGGAGATGCAGAGGAGCGTTGACCCTCTGGCAAAGGGGCACCATCAGCCGACGAGCATGGCGGAGGAGTGGTGGAAGAGGTAGACGGAGGCACAGACTTGCCTGCTAGCTGATCGGACTGAAGCAGGGCTTGATCCCACAGAAGTTTATGCAGGCGGTTCTCTCAGTTTTTTCTTGCCTGCTTAGTAAAGGCCTGACACTGGCCACATTTATCTATCCTGTGCCCTTCTCCAAGACAGAGAAGACACAGATCATGTGGATCAGTAGGTGACATTTTAGAGCCGCACTGTGAACTATTGTGGAAAGCCGCATGCTGCGCCATCGAGGAAAAAGAGAAGATAGTAAAGCGAAGACAAGAGGAACAATATTTGGCGGGGGGGGGGAGGTTTTCTTAAACAGGGAAAAAAAGGGAAATTGAGAAGAAAACTTCTAACAGGGAGGGGAAAAAAACTTGGAATAAGAATGCCTAAGAGAGAAATAACAGCAACTGGTAAACGTGTACAAACTGAGAGACGAAAGGCTCAAGGCACAGCAAATGGCGGTCACAAGAAGACTGAGGAAATGGCGGGCACTCTGCCCTTTTATACCATGGGGGGGAGGGATGCGGACTTCCCGCCAAAACTGTTAAGCTTTTGAATCTTTCCGGCCATAGGCACTGCGCAGGGGCAGCACCCATATGTGTGACTGCACAGAGGCCACGACAAAAAATCCCATAGACCTCCCTGGCGGCTAGACACCAGGGAGAAACATGGAGAGGCCAACTGGAGTAATGCCTCAGGAACATCTTTGTTCTCCAACTATTCCTTTATTGCCCTCTACTGTAAAAATCTGAGACTAGTGGATTTTTCCCAGATTGTCCATTCTGCATCTATACACGTGAAAAAAGAAATGCTCCATGTAGAAAAAATTAAGGGGAATGCCTATTTAAGTACCCATCCATGCTTGTTCCAGGATATATATTACAACCACTTGCATACCCATCAGGAAGACACATAAGTATGAAGTCTGCTTATGTATATGAAATTAGAAGCATAGAATTGGGTGCTCACCATTCACAAGCACAGAAGCTTGGGAACTCTCCTTATGCCATGGATGGGGCCCCACTCACAGGGCTGCAAGCATGTATACAACACAGTCTCCCGCACTCATAACACAATATAAACGAGCATACAATCAAACATGCATCCTAGAATGCACAAGCGGGTACATCTGGGGAGAACTCTGCCAAAACCATTATTGCTGTAAAATGGAAGCTTTTTAAAAACAATGCACACACACGCTTATCTATTACATCACCTCTTCCATCTGTGCCCTCCTATCAAGCTTAGGCAGCAAGCCCATGCCTGCTTAGCATCTGAAATACTGCAGGCTCTGTGGTTGTGACACTGTTCTTGGGTTCCCCTTTGGGAACATGAGCTCCCCTGAGGCTGAGAAATGCTGCTCATGTTCTGCCCCAACCCAGTGCCTTCAAATGAGTTGCAATTCTCATCATTCCCAGACAACATGGGCATTATAGCCCAACACAGCTGGAGAGCACCAGGCTGATATATGCATCTGCATCATCATCAGGGGCATTGCTAGATATTTAAAAGAAGAAGGGTCCAAATATGCACCTCACATAAATCTGCATAAAATCTGCATGTGCTAATTTCTAACTATACATTCAAATCAGGAATATTTACTAGGATGCATCTGAATTTAACAAGAGGCAAGTCATCCTAGGTAAAATATGTTCTTCAGTTAATTGGCACCCTGATGCTGACCATCCCAAGTGAATATAAAAAAGGTTTGTTCTAAACTTAATAGTTGTGCTGGGGGAATTTTATTGGGGTATATGTGCTGTAGTATATTGGAGGGGGAGAGCTACCCTTCTGTCTCCAGCCCAGTTTTAATTCCCTGCATGACAACCAACCACAAAGGAAGCCTCTGCACTGGCCCCATGGGCCCAGTCCAATGGTACGAGCAGAACAGATTAAGACCACTGACAAACAGATTTAAGTCTGGCCCCATGGGCCCAGTACTAGCAATGCCCCTGATCAGCATCATTATTTTGGCACTTTCCACGTGCATTTAAAGCATTTCACTCCATTATCTTAGCCATCACACCCACACAAAGCCTGCCTGTACAGCTTACCTCCTGCTTGAGACGCTTGGCTTGCCCAGCACCGCCCTCCTCTGGATGCAGTCTGAGGACAAAAGCCACCATGGAGTCAGAAAACCCTGCTAGGTAATATGCCCAGGAAATTACCCCCAGCCTGGCCAAGAGGAAAACCAGAAGGGTGCAGCTTGGGACTGCTTTAAACATGCTGCCAGGCAGTGAAGGACTTTACCCATGCAATGTTGCACATGCCCTGCTTTAAGACTGAGTCCCCTCACCTGCACATGCAAACCTCACATGCACTGACATCAGCCGCTGGTGTGAGTGCTGGCACACTGATATTGCATATACAGCAGCTGAGGGTTGCTTTAAACAAGATGTCAAACACCTACCATGTCACACAAGTGAACTCCTTTTGCCACATTTAAATAGGGTTTGATGTTTATTCAGATATATTTAGAAAATCATGGTTTCCTATGATGAGAATATGCCACTCTTAGGCTGAGATTTGGACACTTTGCAGAATACTGAAAATATTTGCTCTGAATGAACCACAGCTGCATCTGAACTTAGGAAACCATGGATAATTCTAACTGTGGTTAGCTTTTAAAAACTAGGGTGAAACTAAGCACAGTTAAGTCAAACCACAGTTCCCGAAGCACAGATGTAACAGAGAACTATAGTTAGTTCAAAAGTAAATAGTTTCAATCTTTTCTTGATGCACACAAAATAGGAGCAGGGATTGAAATGGAGAGTGTGCAAACCCAAACCTCATGTTGGATCCCTTAATGCAAGGATGGGCAACATAAGAGAGTTGGAGACTTTACTAGACTGTCTGGAATTCTCTAGGGGCTACACATCCCTTCCCTGCTGCAGCTGGAAGCTGAGTGTTTCCATTTCCAGCAGAACTGCACTTCCTACAGCCCACCAAACAGCTATTTGGTTATTGGCTAGGAAGAATGCCATAGTACAAAGAAATAGGACAAGCAGTCTTCATGCACTGTGTTTCTCTACAGAACCAATGTTTCTGCTGGGAAACAGGACACAACAGAACACTTTGTTTACCAGCAGAATTGCAGGGAATCTGGCAGGCTGGCTGTGCTGAAGACTGGAAATCTCTGCTAGGGGGCTGCATGCAGCCTGTGGCCACATGTTGTGTACCCCTACTTTGATGCTAAATCATGGTCTCCTGACATGTTGAACCAGCCATTCTGTGAGCTAAAGAAATAGTCAGGGCCTTGGGCAGGGAAAGTGCCTGCTGGGACATGTTCAGTATCATCACAGCCAGTTCCAATTGCCAAACAGGGCCAAGCCCATTTCCTGAATGCTTGACATTTTATTTGGATAATCAGACTGCAGGAAATCAGCATCCAGGAAGGAGATAATTAACACAGCTGGACACCTGTGTTTAAACTTTATACTTTGCAGTGCTCAAGCTATACAAAAATTCAGCCAAGGCATCTGTTTTTTCATTCCAGACCTCAAAAGGATATGCGGTAAAAATAGTTAGCCGAGTCCTTGAGCAAGTACATTTCTTTTGCTTTGGAGTAAATGTAGACAATCCTCACCCATCAGAAACTGACCAGTTTCCAGACAGACATGGGTCCTGGAACTTTTTTTTTTCTTTTTTAAAGAAATGAACCATTTCCTGTTCTCCCACCATTGCACTGCTCTGGAAGAGGCAGTCGATGAGGGTTTTTGCAGAAGCATGGGCACCCCAGAACAACACACTGAGCTTGCCTGTTGAGCATCTTTTCTCAGCAGCATCACAGCAAGGATGTAGCAGGCCACAGCCCAGCTTTGAAGAACCCCACTCGGTAGCAAGAAGGGAACTGTTCAGTTCTCACCTGGATCCCTTAAGTGAGGACAGGTAGCTGCTCTCCCGGGCCACCTGGCGTGACAATGAGAAGAGCTCCACACGGCGAAGCAGCAGCGAATTGTCCCGTAGGCAGAACTGGGCAGCAGCCTCATTGATGGTGAGCTGGGAGCACAGAGAGAGAACAGATTGGTTCTTTGGGGGAGGTGAACAGATCTCAGTCTCTAGTGCTCTAGAGTAAGAACAACGCCCAAGAGGAGGAATTCTGGGGCAGCCAGCATGCAAAGAGGAGAGAAGATCTTTGAAAAAAGAAAACGAAACCTAGATGTGCACAGTAAGATAAGCATCCCAGGGTTAAAGAAGAACGGATACCTCAGGAAAGGAATTTGCAGCTGTCTGAAAGTATATGATACTAAGGGCTTCCCCAAACGATTTATATAGTTTTAGGTGCTATGGTATCCAATATGTTCCCTCCTACCTGCTGTTTCTCAGCACTTAAACCCCAACAATGTGTCACTGTCATCCCTGCCCCCATCTAAAGCAGAGTGCTGTCTAAACTAAAGCGCCTTGTGGCCCCCTTGGGCGCCTCACCCCTGCCACACCAACTTCCCACCAATCCCCCCTAGCTACCAGAAATACACTTCCAGGGACAAAACAGTGGTCTGTGGGAGGATTGCTAGGAAAGGAAGTAGAGAACCTTATCTCCACCCCGCGATAATCATACAGACTGAATTTGCCTCCTGGAAAGGGTGATTTCTATCCAGATCTATCAGGTGGGGAGAAGGTTCACCATTCTCTCCCCAGCCAATCTTTACAAAGGCTGTTCTTTCCTCCTGTTGCTAGCAGTGAAGAAAGAGAAATCTCTCTCAGGACTATGCATGGGTGTCTGTGTGGCCATGCATGTGTATACATTAATCAATAGCACCCAACTTCATACTTCATATCATCAGTAGTTCTCAAGGACAAAAATGCTGTGGATTTCTGCCCTAGACTGAGGTTGGGCAGGTGCCTTTATCAGCCAGCATCTGTGACATCTCAGGTGACAAGGGACACGCCACCAATATGCACATGTCAGCTTGAGGTGCCTCTTAAAACAGGAATGGTGGAACTGAGGCCTGCTCTTCTTGGGCTATACCTCCCATCATCCCCACCCAGTAGCAATACTGAAAGGGCTGGAGTCCAAGAATCTCTGGAACGCCAAAGGGGCCCCATGCCTGTTTTAAAGGTAACCCATGAAAAATATTCTTTGTAGTAAAAATGTGGAGAAAGGGTGGGGTGATTGTGGTCTTTTTAAATGCAGTCTTTTTAAAGGTCATCACAAGCCTAACTACTCCTTCTATAGCAATATTCAGACATTTCATGAGCCACTTTAAACAATGGTTTGGATCTGAAGATCCATGAGCAGAAATGAGGGAGGCCATTTCATGCAATTCCTCCTTTCGAAACCTGCTCTAGGATGTCTGAGCACCTTCAGAATTGTATAGGAGGAAATGCAGGGGACTGCATGGGAATCAGTCTAAATCACCTCAGGGTCCAAGCCAGTTTATCTAAATAATATCCTGCAGTTTTTCCCCCTCTCCAGGGCTGGAACACATAACGCTTGCTGTAAAACAGAACAAAAACAGCTAACAGGCTCTCTGGTTGCAGCAAGAACCTAATCCAGAGGTGCAAAATGTCTGTCAGCCAGAGGGACAGATTGATTTTTGAGGAAGCTCATAAAAGCCACATCCCAGTGGGGGGGTGGGGCCAGGGAAAAAGGAGGTGGGGCCAAAGGAAGACAGGGTGGAGCCAAAATGGCCCAAAAAATCCAGCATGTTTCCAGCTGAAGCTCTGTCTGCTACTAGCAACACCTTCAGACAGCCATGTCAACCTTTTAGAATGTGGGGATGGGATGTGGAGAACTGCTACAAAAGCCAGGAAACCACACAAAAAAATGGTGGTTGGGGTAAAGCAGTGAGCCCAGGAAAAGTGTGGATTTTCATTCTATAACATCAAATTTAGAATAAGTTCTCTGTGCCTTTGTGTTGGCTCAATGCTCCTTCCTCGCAAACCTGCTCCCTTGACTCACCTCATGAAGTGTGAGTTGCTTGCCCTCACAGCGCTGCGCCCCACTCCGTCCATAGATGGCACTGTGGCGCCGGATCTCTTCCTCTTTGCGAGGGTCCCCATTGTCCATGCGAAAGATATGGCCCACTGTTTTTGCCAGCTTCTTATTCAGCTTCATGAGGCTTCGCAGCTCCGTTTCTCCACCACGGGGACAGCTGCGCAGAAGACGATCTGCACCCTCTGCCACTGCTTGGACCAGTTCTGGATCAAGCCGCTCCGCAGAAGAAGGGTGCTCACTGGGTGAAGATGCCCCCCCTTCCTCTTCCGACTCTGGATTGCCCCAGTGAATCACTGGCAAGGGGGACAGCTTTTCTCTTGCCTCTGAGGGACTCTTGGCAGGGGAGGTACCACTGGCTTTCCCTGGGGTCTCTCCGGGGCTGGTATGGCCATTGGTAAGCGATTTGCGCCCCCCTGACTCAGAAATCTTGAAAAGCGGAATGCTGCTGACGGGTATGGAGGGCACCGGCTGGTTGAAGAGCCCTGGGTTGGTTGCCCACTCCCGCAGGGCCTTCTGGAGGCGCCGAACGTGGAGCGGCTTAGTCGCCATGCCAACCAGAGCCATGATCTCCAAGAACTCCTCCTCGCCCGCCTCACACAGCTGCTGCACGTCATCACCGCCCTGTTGGATGAAGGTCTCGTAGTAGGAGAGGAGGTTGGCTCGCTGCAGGACACGATACAGCTGGAGTTCACCCAGTGTGCGTGGCAAGGACAGGGCCATAGCCGGTGGCCTGCAGAGACAGCAGAGCAAGCTTGGTCACTGAGGAGAAACGGAAGCTGGGCCTGAGGAGATTCAGCTATACCTGCCACCTGCCTGCCCCCAGTCAGGAGACAAAGGCAGGCATACCAACAGGGCCAGTCCAAACTATTTTGCTGCCTGAGACAAAGGACAAGATGGCATCTCCCCTGCCTAACTCTATGCACAAATGCTGGCAGTTGATTTCTGAAATATTTCAACATTACTGACAGGAGAGCATCCTCCACAAGACCTGAGGGCAGCAGGGCAGCTCAGAATGTTCTGCACAGGTGGTGGCATTCAGCCCCATCTCTCCCATGCGCCCTGCACCTGCCACACGAGGTGGTGGTCTCATGCTATCTAATGAGAAAGAGTGGCACCACAAAATAGGCGTAAAAGGGAAAAACATCACTTGGTGCATTTATGTCACAATGTTTAAGTTGTACACACCATCGGTTAAAAGCCAAGTTTGTAAAGAGAAATTATGCCGATTTTCTTCAAGCAACAGTAACTTCTGTGGCAACAGCCATAGCAACCAAGTCCTGGACTAAGGTGTGGTGTTTATTTGGGTTTCATTTGGAATTAGACAAATTCCTAGAGAACAAGGGGATCCATGGCTACTAGTCAGGATAGCTGCAGATGGCCTCCTGCATGAGAGGTAGCATGCGTGCCTCTGTGTTCCAGTTGCTGGAGAACATGGGCAGGAGGGCGTTGTTGCACTCATCTTCCATTTGTGGACTTTCCATTGCATTACCTGGTTGGCCGCTGCATGCACAGAATACTGGATTAGGCAGGTCTCTGAGCCAATCCAATACAGCTCCTCTTACATTCGTAGGGAAAAAAGTAGACACAATCTTGTGTACACTCCCTCATTGTGGTGCACTTGCTGCACAAACCTCTCCTTACACTACAGCCTCCCACAGCAATGCAGGTAAAGCCCAACCCCGCCTGTTTGCTGATAATGCAATCCTGCGGAGCTGCACATGCTTACTCAGAATTAAGCCCCATTGGGGTGTATTTCTTAGTAAATGTGTTTAGGATTACAGCCTGAAGCATCTACCACACTTTAGAACAGCTTTCCCCAGCCTGGTGGCCACCACAGGTTTTGGATTTCAGCTCCCATAAGTCCCAGCCAGTGTGGCCAGTTGACTTGGATGCTAGATGCATTTGGAGGAAGGCTGCCTCAAAACATCTGCTGAAATACTCATGTTTCACTCTGATGGGTGACTTTTGATGGATGACTTTTGCCTTGCTCTGCAACTGATGATATCATACACTGTCTACACGGCATCCTCCAACTGCAATACATTGCAACCTTCCCATCAAAGTCAAGATTCTTCCTCTGCACTGTGACTTGAGCCTGTACACTTTATTATAACACACAAAGTACTGAAACCTAACCCAGTTTACATGCATTGGCTCCATGCCATGTGATCTGGGATCTGCACTACAACTATTCTCTCAGCTGCTATGCTTCCATGTCCCCAATGTGGCCCTTCACCTCCGTGTACTAAACCCCAACAGCATTTCAAGCATGCAAACGTGCACACACGAAACCTGCTTCTCCTCTACAAACCAGAAATCCCACCACACTGAAACATCGCCCCAGCCTGGCCTCATCCCCAACATGTGCATGAACATACCACCCTCCTCCAAACACCCACGGCTTGTTTTTTCCTTTAACTGACCTTACATGCATTAACTTTTCTTATGATGAGGCCATAAAAGCAGTGCAGCAGCATCTGTGCCCTTGGGGGGAGTTGGTGTTTCTTGGGTACTTCTCAGTAGTGGAGGTCACATGCACTGCCCACCTCCACCTTTTCTGGACCAATGCTGCAGAGGTGGGGGAATTTTGGTGCAACACTGAGGGGTACGCAAGGGGCTTTAATTGAACATGCAAGTTGTGCTTGCTGGATTGGCAGGTGAGGGGAAGCACTAACCAGCTCAAACTATCACTGCCGTCTCCCAAGTCACTCTTTTGGACTCTCTCGTGGTACCATGAGAGCTGGACTGTGGGGCACATGTCCAGGGCCCCACTCAGAAGAGTGAGCAGGAGGGCTTACAACAGGGCTGGCTTAGCACAGTGCACACTCCCAATTAAAGTGTGTGTGGGGGAGGGGGGAGCTGCAGCCCATACGATCATTTAAGTCAAGAGCCTTAAGTTACAATAATCATCTTAGAAACATAGAAACAGAGCGAGTCACAAGGGGCCTTCCAGGCCATCTAGTCTGACCTCCGGCACCAGCCGGCGCCACTCACGACATGCCCACCATGTGGACATCCAGCCTATCCTTGAACACCCGCACCGATGGGGCCTCAACGACCTCTCAACGCCCATTCCACACCCTCGGGGTCCTAACTGTCAGGAAATGCTTCCTGGCATCTAAATCGAACTTTGGCTCCCTGAGCTTTGCTCTGTTGGAGCGCGTCCTGCCTTCCTCCGCAGGGGAGAACAGGTCTCTACCCATCTCCGTATGACATCCCCTCACCTACATGTATGCCGCCAACATATCCCCTCTGAGTCGCCTCTTCTCCAGGCTGAAGAGACCCAGATCCCTCAGTCTCGCCTCATCCCCCATCCCCTGCAAACCAACCACCAACCTTGTGGCCCTACGCTGCACTGACTCTAACCTGGCTATATCCTTTCTGTAATGAGGGGCCCAAAACTGAGCACAATACTCCAGTTGCAGGCGCACCAGAGTTGTGTAGAGTGGTAGTAATACTTCTCTTGATCTAGAAGCCACACTTCTGGCTATGCAACCAAGGATGGCGTTTACCCTCTTGACCACCGCATCACACTGCTGACTCATGTTTAGCCTGCAGTCAACCAGCACCCTGAAGTCCCTTTCACAAGTGCTGCTCTCCAGCCACTTGTCACCTAACCTGTACTTATGACAGCTATTCCTATGCCCCAAGTGCAAGACCTTGCACTTATCCACCTTGAACGCCATCCTGTTGTCTCCTGCCCACTTCCATAGTCTGTCCAGATCCTTTTGGATCTGGAGTTCCTGCTCCTCAGTTGTGGCCACTGCTCCAGTTTTAGTGTCGTCTGCGAATTTGATCAGCAGACTGTTCACCCCTTCTTCCATATTGTTAATGAAAAGATTAAACAGACCCTGCTTGTCACTGGCCGCCATCCCAATGATTCCCCACTAATGGTTACCTTCTGCTTTCAGTCAGTCAACCATGCCCTAATCCACCGGACAGTGCTTTGGTGTATCCCAAAACTCCTCAGTTTCTCCACCAGGATATCATGGGGCACTTTGTCAAAGGCCTTGCTGAAATCCAGGTAAACCACATCCACTGCATCCCCTCCATCCAGCCATCTCAAAACCTTGTCATAGAATTCCACAAGGTTTGTCTGGCAGGACCTGTTTTTGCGGAAGCCGTGTTGCGCGGCTGCCAGCCGTCCTTCCCGATCTAGCATCTTACATATCCCCTTGTCCAAACAGCTGCTTCTTCAGAACATTCAAGATTGGGACTTTATGGGGATGATCTCCTCCATGCATCTTAGCACCACCATTTCCAATCCATTTTTGGAGAGCTCTGAAACATCGTCACCTTTTTCAAATTAGAGCCTAGCAAGATAGGTATGCTCTTTGATTAGCTCCATTTACCCAGCCTTGGATGCCTATCTTGAAACGCATGGGTATAAGGGTAGTCACCAGAGAAATACCACTCTCCTCTCCTGTCAGGCTTAATTTGAGATGAAAATTACTGTTTCTGTCTGGTTAAGAAATAGCAGATCTTATCTGTTTACGACATGAAACGTTCAACCAGGAAGACATTAGACAGAAGTGCCCCTGAGCATGTATATAATCCAGGGACCCACCACAGCCCCATAACTCTACAGCGAGTAAGCAAGGTTGCCCATGTCAGGAGGCGTGCCCCTTGCACCTCTTGCGTGTATTTAACAGCCATTTTCACAATCGCTTCCTTCGTCTTGTTTCTGCCCTTTACAGTGGAGCACCCCATTCACTGAAGAAATGCAGCGGTGGGGGAGGGGGAGAGAAGTAGAGGTTGACAAGTAATCCCTCCACCTGGCCTGCTGTCCCTTCGCCCCCTCCCCGGGGGTGGGGGCAACTTACTCCCAATGTTCCTCCCCGTCCCACCTCCCCTTCGCGTCCGCGGCGCCTGCCCCACCCCACGTCTTTACTCACTCGCTCTCTGCTGCGTCTCACGGCGTCGCTGGATTGCTTGGCAGTCCGGGGGGTGTGATCGTGGGGCATGGACCCAGGGCCTTCCTCGCCTTGCTGCTGGCTGGCAGTGCCTGCTTCTAATCCGAGGCGAAGATAGAAAGAAAGAGACAGAGGAAAGGGGTGCGAGCGCCGAGCATCCGATGGCGCCAGTCCACCCTGATGGCTCCCTGCGTCCGTCCGTCGGAGCTTCTCCGTCTGCCCGTCCCCCACACTCCTCCTCCTCCTCTCTCTCTTTCTCTCTCTGCGCGCCTCGGCGCTGAGCCTTTGGCACGGAATTGCCTCCCACGCCGCCGGATTTACAATGGAACGGCGGCGGCGGCTCCGAGCTGCTGCCGCGCGTGGGAGGCGTCGGGGGCGGCAGGCAGCTCCTGCCTCGGACCAGAAAAACTGCAGCAGCAGCAGCAGCAACCGCCACCTCCGAAAGGGGGATGAAGCCGCCCTGCTCTCTTCCTCCGATATGCCCACGTGCTGGCATGAAAGGGGCTAAATCAGCGGTGTGCTTGCACCCCATTTCCTGCCTTCCGCGCGCCTTCAACCGCCGTGCGGGATGTTGGGTGCCCCCCTTAGAAAAAGAGGATTAAACTCTTCGTGGCTGCTAGGGGTGGAGTTGACGTGACTGGTTTGCTCGACGTGGACGCTTTTCCTCTTCTGCCTTTGGGAGCCTTGCATTGTGCCTTGTGCACGTTCTGGGCTATGTGGCAAAACTAACAGTCTTTACTGCGCGCCACATGAAAAACGAACACATTCCGGCGAAAGGCCTGAACTAGGCTGCTACTACCCTTTCAGGTTATATAGGGGTATGCAGCCCCCTCTGAGTAAAGTGTGAATAAGACTTAGATGTTCTCAAAAAGGACGCGTTCGTGTTTCGCTGGTCTAAGTGTACGGGGCTGTGTTACGCCACCCTCGGAAATGCACATGTGAGAATGAAAAGTGCGAGTTTTGAGAGCACTGGTAGTTTCACGCATGAATGCTGTTGTTACGCATGTGCTCACAAAAGTCTTCTTGGGTGAGAGGGTCGGGTAAGCTCCCACATATTTTTGGGTGCATGCCTGTGAGCGACGCAATACGCCTGTGATAGGGCAAAGCATGTAGAAAAGCTTAGGGGGTTATTTCAAGGGTGTAGGAGAAGGCTTAGAGAAAATATTTCTTTACAGAAAACCTGTCAGTGTCTGATTCATCAGTGGACAAAATCAGGATATGATAACTAGAATGATAATCTTATTAGAACCATTTGGATAAATGCCCCCTGTTTAAAAACAAACTGGAATTTTGCATTGCTTTTAAATGCATTGTACATTAACATTGCATTGAAAAATACTAATTCTTTCACTTCAAATACTCCAACCCACACTTGAAAAACTTTTAAAATGCAAAATGGGATGCTTTACATTTTGAAGTTTAAAAGGGTTTGGTTTTTCAAAGTATTTATTGACCTGATCAGGTTTCCCTCCTGGGGAAGTGGGAAGGATAATTTTAGTTGTATAATTTCTCTTTACCAAAGGATGCAAAAATATATTTGATTGGATTAAAAGGAAACCTGTCAGATAGTTTTCTACAACTAGTCCATCAAAGTTGACTGGCAGCATCTGAAGCTGTCAGAGGCCTCTCACATCACTGTCTACCTATTCCTTTGAACTGGAAATGGCAGGAACTGACATGTAATTGGCATCTGACTAGAGCTGAACCTGCTATTAGGCAAAGTAAAGCAGCAGTTTTAGGGTCAGGCAAGGGTGGCAAATTATTAGCATTGAAAGGCTCAGTCTTATGCACATTCAGGCAGAATGACTGCTGCCCCCAGCATACCTCAGCCACACAACTTTTTAAAGTGCGAAAATGCATCCTTAATTTATTATTTTTGTATGTTTTTACTGAGGAAGATTTTCTTCTTCAGGCAGCAGAATAACTTGTATGGCCTTGGTACTTTGACATGCCAAGGCAGAATACTGTTTGCCACTCTTTCAGCAGCAAAATGTTTTTGGCCAGCCCTGCAGTCTTGTAAAGAACAGAGTTAGTTTTAAGTGTTCACTAATTCCCCACTTATCTGATGGTACAGAACTTCAGAAACCACTATAACCATTTTTCTTTGCCTACTAGATTTCTGAACTACTCTGAAGTTTGCTATCCATTTAAAGAATATCTAAATCTTTTTGCTTCAGATCTGTTTTCTGGCCCACCATGGCAAACATAGTCAGTGTGGCCTTCTGATATTTAATTATTTATATGCTACCTTTCCCCTGCAGTTTAGACAATCCCTTCTCCTCTCTATTTTTTTCTCACAACAGCCATTTGAAATAGATTGAGAGTCAGAGACTGGCCTAAAGTCATCCAGTGAACTTTATGGCTAAGTGAGGACTAGAACCCAGATCTCCGGAGTTCCAGTTTACTGCTGAAACTAGTATGCTACACTGGCAAGCTGAAGCCCTTCAAAAAGTAAGGGAAATGCAGTTGAGGGACTATGGGCTAGGATGGAAAATCATTGGGAAGAACAGTTCTGTAGAAGTATAAGTGGCATTTGCATATATTTGGTAATACGTTTGCAAGCTTAAAAATTCATAGAAGAAGGAATGTTTTCAACACTGTTGGTGCGATGCCTGCATTACTAGGTACATAATCACATAGATCCCTGTTCCGTCAGCTACTCCTTCCTGCTTCAGATCTACCCACCCTGGAGAGAAAGGAGGGATTTGGTTCCCAAAGCATGACTGCATCTGTGTGGGATTAGTAAACTAGCAGACTCTGCCCTTTCCCCGTAACATCAGAAGAACATAGATAATCATGTGTATTATTGAGCTCAGCTGAACTGAAAGAGTGGTAAACCAAGGTTTTACTTTATTTTTCCCCAAAAAAGTTGTAAGAATTAAAAGGTGAGCTCCCTCAGAAACAAGTTGGGGGCTAAAAAAGGCTTAAGGTAAATACCTCCCTAAGTGAAAGTGTGCCTTATACTTTTTCAAACAACTTCTAACTCCACCCCAAGTTGCCCTGACTCTGGCCTTTTTTGAACTGAAGCTTTCTGGCCTTGACTCCCAGCTCACTACTGTCCTAAATTTGTATTTTCCTGTGCAGCTAGGAGTTGATTGTGGGTTTATTTTTGGATCTTCTTAGTGGCACAGGAAATGTCCATTGTGGGGTTTGTAGCAATCATAGTTCTGTCTTGTTTTGTGCCACGCATTTACCATGTGCCCCCACTTCTACACACACACACACACACACACACACATTCCCTCCAACAGCATCCAGTCTGAGAGAACCTCCTGGCCTCTCAGCTGCAAAGGCCCAAGGAAGTCAAAGCTGTACCCTGCATGCAAAGGAAGGCGTAGGCAGGAAGTTGGCTCTGCGGAGGACAGATCATCCCAATCAGCTTTAGCTACTGAGAGGTTTCTATTCAGAGAGGCCTGAACAGTAACATATGGTTCTTCCCACTGAGCAGCCTCCCACAATGGCAAGAGCATCTACCTAGTGTTGATGCTTTTCAATGCCGGCCTGCACATCCATATTTGGGCTTGGAGTCCTGCAATCTTTGCAGAGGCTCTTGAATTCAGCCAGGTCACTAGGGCTCCCCTCTGGTGACAGGGACAAATAGCTGGCTGCGGTTCTATTCTTGTGAATGCACAGAGCTGGCTGTGTATAAAGCCTTATGTATGTATGTATGACTTTTACCTGCCTTTCTATTAAAAATGACACTCCTCAGTAAACATAGATAGGATTGTTCAGTCTGTTTAACAACGGAAGCTAAGGCCTCCAGATGATGTTGAACTGTAACTCTCAGCAGTTCTAGCCACCATAACCAATGATAAGAAATGATGTCTTAGGGCATTTGGAAGGTCACCCATTTCCCCACTCCTGAGCTAACTGGCATTATTATGAATAGGTGCCTCCTCTAGATACCCAAGCTTTGCAGTTGGGGCCTGTGTTATTGGAGCAAACCTCCACGAGGGTTTGGAAACCCTGCCTTATGAGGAGAGACAGAGAACTGGGTATGTTCAGCCTTGAGAAGTCTGAGGGGGTACATTATATAGGTATTCTATAGGTACCTAAAAGGCTGTCACAAAGAGGAAATTCAAGGTCTCTTCTCACTGATACCAGAGTATAGGACACAGAATAATCAATTCAAATTGAGACAAACCAGATTCAGGCTAGATATCAAAAAAGTTTTCTCACTGTCAGAGCTATAGGACAGTAGAACCAGTTCCCTAGAGAGGTGTTGAGCTCTCCCACACTAGACACATTCAAAAGAAACTGGACAGCCATCTGAGTGGGATGGTGTAGATTGTTGACCTGCAACAGCAGGGGATTGGACCCAGTGGCCTTTGTGGCCCCTTCCATTTCTGCTGTTCTATGATTCATTACTCCATGGAAGTTTTTGTTGTCATGTGACATCTAAGGGTTGGGTTTTGCCCATACTGTTTTTGGAGACACAATGGTGGTGGTATCCCATGGTGGAAGGAGGATGGAGAATGCACTGTCCTGTGCAACAAGGTTATCATAAATTGTTCTGCCTTGTGCCCAGCACTTGCCCATTCCATCATGCTCACATACTGTAAGGGGTATATAACACTGGATTATATTACAGGACTGTTGTGAACCAGTGTGCCCATGTTTTGTAGGTATACCAGACTACCTAACAGAGCTGTTGTTAGCCACTAGCAGCTTCATCACTATTCCTACCAGCCAAGAGTGGCATAAGTGAGAGCCAGAGTGGTGTAGTGGTGAAGAGCATGGGACTGGGACTCAGACGAACTGGGTTTTAGTCCCTGCTCAGCCATGGAGCCAACTGGGTGACTTTGGGCCAGTCACAGACTCTCAGCCAATCTACCTCACAGGGTGGTTGTTGTGGGGATAAGATGGAGGACGAGATGTAAGCTGCCTTGGGCCCTTTGTAGGAAAAAAGGCATGATATAAATCGAATAAATAAATAAATAGGTTATCTAGGCTTAAGCACCATCACAATACACCATAATAAAATAAGAAAGAAATAATTTTGGGAAGCCTGTTTAAAAAGCAGGGTGGTTTTTCGAGTATCTGAAAAATGACCCACATCTCCCCCACACCTCCAAACATACACAAAGATCTGAGACATGGGGGATGGAAGTATGATCTTAAATTTCTGCTTCTACGTTTACAGAGGACAGGGAGGGGAAAGCGTGGAGAGGCGAGGCTGCTATATCTCTGCTACGATGCATCTTTTTATACTTTCTCCAGTGGACAGCTGCCCCTCTTGATCCTCGTAAGCAAAGGTAGCC